AAAAAAAAAAAAAAAAGATCTGCATTTTAAATATACAAATGAATTTTCCACCTAGGGAAATCTATACATTTTAAAACTGAACTGAAAAAGAGTCACAATTTAAAAAGGAAGAAAGTTCCTACCACCATGAAAAAGTAATTTATGTAGAAAGGAGGGTGTATTTTTTTTTTGGAGGGGGTACTTTTTTTTTTTTTTTACAAAGTTCCAGAATCTTTCCTACAGAATGGCTAGAATAGTACTAAGAATTTCTGCATTTTCAGAATTCCAGATTTCCTAAATGTTAATTAATATTTCACCATAAATGCCTTATCCTCTCCATGTACAAGGAAATATATAATAGAAAGGGGTGGCGCCTGTGGTTCAGTGGGTAGGCGAGTTCAAACCCAGCCCTGGCCAAACAGCAACAATAAAAAAATAACTGGCAGGAGGCTGAGGCAAGAGAATTGCCTAAGCCCAGGAAATGGAGGTTGCTGTGAGCTGTGTGACGCCATGGCACTCTACTGAGGGCAATAAAGTAAAACTCTGTCTCAAAATAAATAAATAAATAAATAGATTTAAAAATATTTTTTCCTAACTGTGCAGGCAGATATTATGTCCCTTCCTACCATTACTCCATTGTGTATATCCTGAAAACAAGGATCAAAATCAGAAATTAACAGTAACACAATACTATAGACATGATCTATAGACCTTACCAGATTTTGGAAACCGTCCCAATGTCAGAAATGTCATTTTAAAACTGAACTATATCCTGGTTACATTATAACAATACCATAAACTCAGGTTCTTAAATTTTGCTTTGTCACCTATTTCACATGCCCTCCTAAATAAACATGTTCTATCTATGGAACTAAAGATCTTTTATCTTTCCTAAACATAAATCCTCCAAATTCTTTTTTTTGAGACAGAGTCTCACTTTGTTGCCCTTGGTAGAGTGCTATGGCATCATAGCTCACAGCAACCTCAAACTCTTGGGCTCAAGCGGTTCTCTTGCCTCAGCCTCCTGAGTAGCTGAGACTACAGGTGCCCACCACAGCACCTGGCTATTTTTGGAGATAGGATCTCACTCTAGCTCAGGCTGGTTTCGAACCTGTGAGCTCAGACAATCCACCCACCATAGCCTCCCAGAGTGCTAGTAAATCCTCCAAATTCTTATAAAAAGCCCATAATGCCCATCCATTTCAAATCTACCAACAAGGGGGATAAGTGGAAGAAGGGAGTCAAACACAAAAGATAAGTTGCTTCAAAGACAAGCCTACTTAACTTATTTTAATCAGCGCCCAACCCAACACTGAACAAAATTAATCTAGGCAATTAAAGTGACATAAATGCCTTATCTTCTCTATGTACAAGGCAATATATAATAGAGCAAGTCAATATATAATAGGGAGGGGCGGTGCCCCTCTAAGGGATCCTAGGCCAATGGAAAGATGTCACTCTTAAGAGTTCATACAAATCACTACCATTTGTTTCCTGAGGCTCCCTCTCACAAATAAAACAGTCACAATGGCTGGCTTGCCTTCTCTGATTTCCCCTTCTCTCAATCAACATCCCTACTTACCTCACTTCTTTTGTTGGTTCTGTTTTTACGGATGGACACAGAGAGGACACAGAGAGAAGTTGCAAAACCTACAAAGCTGTTGCTCTCTCCTGAGTCACCTGACTCTAGGCCCTCTTGATCTAGATGGTGCAATTATTGCCGTTTGTTACAAGGCCAACCACAGCCTTCCATAACCATGAGGAATATGTCCTCTAGAGAGCACACTTACAGGATGGCAGAATTCAGCACC